CATTATAATCAGGATCAGGGTGTCCCACAAGGCAGTATTTTGTCTGTCACTTTATTCAGTATAAAAATTAACAGTTTGTCCAAAGTTTTAAATGATTCAGTTGATGGATCACTTTTTGTGGATGATTTTAATCTATCTTGTCGTGGTAAAAATATGCGCACAATAGAAAGGCAATTACAATTATGTCTTAATAAAATTCACAAGTGGTGTTTAGAAAACGGGTTGAATGGCACCCCTATCAAAGTTGTAAAGGAGGCCAAATTCTTGGGACTCATCTTTGATAGCCATTTAACTTTCCTTCCACATATTAAATACCTTAAAGCTAAATGCCTGAAGTCGCTCGATTTATTAAAAGTTGTATCTAATTCAAAGTGGGGAGGGGATCAGACAACCCTCTTACACTTATACAGATCACTGATCCGTTCAAAACTTGATTATGGCTCCATCATCTATGGTGGAGCATGTAAAAGTAATCTAAAAAAACTAGATACTATCCATCACCAAGGACTGAAGCTTTGCCTTGGAGCCTTTCTCACTTCTCCTATTCCAAGTCTCTCTGTTGAAGCAGATGAGCCTTCTCTGAAACAACACCGTCTGAAACTATCATTACAATACATCACTAAATTATATTCTAATCAGTCAAATCCAGCTTTTAATTGCGTGTTTTATCCTCTTTACGAAGATATTTACAGTAAGAAAACATCTCTTGTTACACCACTAGGAATAAGAATTAAATCAGTTGTTTCTGCTGCGAACATTAACTTTCAGGATATAGCTCCCACAAAACTTTTTTCATCGCCTCCTTGGCAGATGGTAAGACCAACTGTAGACCTCACATTAACTAGACTCAAGAAATCTGATACAAATCCACTTATTTATAAACAAGAATACAATCAATTACGAAACACTTATGACACTTATAAATCTATATTTACAGATGGATCCAAGGATGGTGGCACAGTTGCTAGTGCCACTGTCATTGGATCCAGAACAGTATCTTCATGATTACCTGATAATAGTTCCATATTCACAGCAGAAGCACAAGCAATTTTAACAGCACTAAAGTATATCAAGAACAAATCCAAATATAAAGCTTTCATTATTTTTTCAGAATCACTTTCGTGCCTTCAGGCGATTAACAATATGTCTTCGAAACATCCGCTTTTAATCCAAATTCTTGAATTATAAAATGATCTTGCTACTGGCCAATATGACATCGTCTTTTGTTGGTTACCAAGCCATGTTGGTATCATTGGTAACACAATGGCCGATGCTGCTGCAAAAGCAGCACTCAACAAATCTGTGACACCACTTCTTATCCCATACACTGATTATAAACCTATTATTAGATCTTACATCCGTGATCTGATGCAAAAGAAGTGGGACACCCAAGTAGGTATCAATAAATTACATCAAATTAAACCAACTATCGGTTACACCTACTTGGGTTGTCATTCCTGATTTGAAGAGGTCATTATGCGATTATGTCTTATTGGCCATTCAAGATATACACATGAGTATCTATTGAAAGGTGAGGATCCTCCGTTTTGCATCCCTTGTGATGAAAGAATCACAGTCAAGCACGTCCTGCTTGACTGCATTGATTTTTCCATCACAAGTGATAAATATTATCATGTAAAAACAGTAAAGAACCTCTTTAATCATGTACATTCTCATTACTATTGTGCTTTTTAAAGGAAATTAAATTAATTCATAAATTTTGATGTACATAATAAGTTTTTAGATATTGGTAGTGCTAATTAATAACTTAGATTGTAGGTGGCTGTACCCTCGAGGGGGGTTGAAGTAGCGTAAAATTATTGTCCCCCTAAGAGGGTATGTAAGTCCCATATCATTCAAAGTATTCTTCTGCATGCCAGGTGTTTAAACGTAGAATATTCGTCATTTTAGTGTTTGGCTTAATTGGTACACTGTCGCCAGTGACTGAAGGGATGATATAAATCCTGCCGGGGTCCATGCAGGAAGCAAAGGTACTGTAAGTCCCCATGGACCTTAGCATGGTGATCTAGCTTCGGTTGCTGTCGATCTCTAACCTATTTTTATATTGTGTTGTTCACTGATACTTGTTACTTTTATATATTCTCAACTAGTTTTAAATAGACTCTGTGATATTCTAGTTATTGTACTGTCCATCGTTAAACAGCTTTTTATATTGTATTAATTTATGTGTTATTAATGTACTTCTCGTCACGATATGGCTGAAATACTGCCGATGTCACGTTAAATCTTAACTCACTCACTCACTGTTAGCGTAAAATTATTGTCCCCCTAAGAGGGTATGAAAGTCCCAATCATTCGAAGTATGTTTATGCATGCCAGGCTTTTAAACGTAGTATTTTTGTCATTTTAATCTTAGGCTTAACTAGTCAATTATCGTCAATGACTGTAGGGTGATATAAATCCTACCGGGGTCCATGAAGGAAGCAAAGGTACTATAAGTCCCCATGGTCCCTAGTATGGTGATCACCCTTCAGTGACTGACGATCTCTAGCCCATTTTGAAAGCTAAATGTCTGAAGGCACTAGATTTATTAAAGGTTGTTTCTAATTCGAAGTGGGGAGGTGATCAAACGACCCTCCTTCACTTATATAGATCACTTGTCCTTTCTAAGCTCGATTATGGCTCCATCATCTATGGTGGAGCCTCTAAAAGTAATCTTAAATTACTTGATCCCATACATCACCAGGGTCTGAGGCTTTGCCTTTGATCTTTCAGAACTTCTCCCATTGCCAGTCTATTTGTTGAGGCCGATGAGCCATCACTTAAACAACGCCGTATTAAACTAACATTACAGTACATCACAAAATTATATTCTCATCAGTCTAACCCTGCATACAATTGTGTATTTAATCCTCTTTATGAGGAACTGTACAGTAGAAATCATCTCTTATTCCGCCTCTAGGAATAAGAATTAAACCTTTTATAAATGCTGCAAATATTGCTCTCGAAGATAAAGCTCCTTTTCGCCTGCTTTCTTCTCCATCTTGGCAGCTGGTAAAGCCGCAGGTGGATCTTACCTTATCTAAACTTAAAACATTTGACACTAATCAACTACAATATCAACAAGAATATAATCAGTTAAGAAGTGAATATGATACTTACAAATCTATTTTTACTGATGGATCCAAGGATGGTGATGCTGTTGCTAGCGCCACTGTCATTGGATCCATAACTTTATCAACTCGATTACCTAATAATTCAACCATTTTCACAGCTGAATCAAAGGCTATTTTAACTGCTTTAGACTATATTAATAGACAGACTAAACATAAGGAATTCATAATTTGTTCAAACTCTCTCTCCTGTCTTCAGGCTATTAAAAATACTTCGTGTAAGCATCCAATTTTACTAGACATCATAGAACTACATAACAAACTTGCTACTGGCCAATACGACATCGTCTTTTGTTGGCTTCCCAGCCATGTTGGAATTGTTGGTAATTCAATGGCCGATGCTGCTGCAAAAGCAGCACTCGACAAATCTGTGACACCACTTCTTATACCATACAGTGATTATAAACCTGTCATTAGATCTTACATCAGAGATCTAATGCAGAAGAAGTGGGACACCCAAGTGGGTATAAATAAATTACATGCAATAAAAGCAAATATCGGTTATACCTACTTGGGTTGTCAGTCGTGATTTCAAGAGGTCATTTTAAGACGATGTCGTATTGGCCATTCACGGTATACTCATGAATATATTTTAAAAAGTGAGGATCCTCCATTCTGCATCCCTTGTGATGAAAGAATCACGGTCAAGCACGTCCTGCTTGACTGTGTTGATTTTCCATCACAAGGGATAAATATTTCAAAGTTTCAACTATGAAGGACCTTTTTACACAGGTAAGTACTCATTTTATTCTTGATTTTTCAAAGGAAATGGAATTAATTCATAAATTTTGATTGTTGTAAATAAATAAATTCATTTTATAATTGGTTGAATTAATCAATCACTGAGATTGTTAGTGGCTATATCCTCGAAGGGGGTTAAAGTAGTGTAAAATTATTGTCCCCCTGAGAGGGTATTTAAGACCACGTCTTTCAAAGTATATTTATTTCAGCCACGTTTTTATTCGTAGTATATCTGTTCGTTTAACTTTGGCTAAACTTGTCAATAATCGCCAACAGCTGAAGGGATGATGTAAATCCGGCTGGGGTCCATGCAGGTAGCAAAAGTACTGTAAGTCCCCATGGACCCTAGCGTGGTGATCTAACTTCAGCTGCTGGCCCATTTTTATATCGTATCGTCATGTATTGTGCTATGCGCTTTTATAATTCCTTACAATATATGTGGCACTCGTGAAGAGCAACCTCCTCGTGGTGAGTGCTGGGTAACGCTAATCGCTCTTACCCCGTGTGGAACCGGGGTAGAATATTTCCACAGCACCCCATTGCTGGTCGTAAGAGGCGACCAAAGCGGGCAGCCCGTTTGCCGTGGGTTGCGTCCCTGTGTCGGCGGAGGATGGGAGTCTGGTAGTTGAGGGCACTGGTTCCTGGAACTGTGTTCCTTTGCCCAACACACTACTTCGACCCTTACTTCGCCTAGACGGGTGGCAAGATGGGCCCGGTCTTATCAATCGGCTGGTCATGCCAGGCCCTGTGCGTAATATTGTATATGCACTCCTGTGTTGTATTATAATGTATATTTTGGACTTGGCCAAGCATACTTTGTATGAATTACCAATTTTTGATGGAATAAATTGCCTAGAGTCTTACGCCAGAAGGCGGTGGCTCATGGGCCAATCTGGTGATGTTGACCTCTGTATTCTGTATGTCTCCAGTTTCTTGTCATGGACTGAACCTGCCTGGCACTACATCTGGTTGATAAATATAGCTATTCAAGTCATATTTGCTGGAGTATAGCATCCCTGTATCCCTGGTGTTTGCATGCTGGAAATCCGATGGGCTACAACACTGTCCTTGTTGACACTCCATGGTGGGTGGGGAACAGGTATGCCGAAACACTTTTATTTCACCATGGCTCACAATCATTCTGGTTCAAAGCGTCGACATTTAGAATCAAGCTCATCTGATGAGGCTGTTGCAAATTTTGATTCCTGGGCTCGATTCCTCATGATCGAAGCTAAAGATCATCAACCTATCAAACTTAATCCCTTTGCCATTTCTAAGGCAATCCATGGCTATTGCGGTGATGTTAAAAATGTGACCCGACTTCCTTCTGGCTCCCTTCTTGTTGAATGTGTCAGAAAACAACAATCCCTCAATCTATTATCAGTTAGTACATTTGCCAATGTTGAGGTTGTTGTTACTGAACACCGTACACTCAACTCTTGCAGAGGCATTGTTCGTGACAGGACTCGTTCCTTGTCCGACATGTCAGAACAAGAAATAGCAGATGAATTGGAAAATCAAGGTGTGTCTTCTGTGAAACGTTTCACAAGAAAGAAGGACGATTCAACTATTGAAAAGACTAACACCTACCTATTCACATTTTGTAGATCTTCATTACCTCAGTCAATCAAAGCTGGTTATGTCAACATCGGAGTGGAGGTGTATGTCCCCAATCCACTCCGGTGCTTTAGGTGTCAACATTTTGGCCATGGCTCTAAATCATGTACTCGCTCCGTTGTTTGCCAACGTTGTGGTGACAACCATGACAGTACTGATTGCCAGCAAACACTCAAATGTGTAAACTGTGATGGAAAACATATGGCATCCTCTAAACTCTGCCCTGTATGGCAAAATGAATCAAAAATACTGAAAATAAAATGTGAAAAAAACGTCACCTTTGGAGAGGCTAGACAACTCTTTCAATCTCAGTCACCACATCAATCAACCCTTAACTACTCTGCTGCTATCTCTAAGCCAGTTCAATCTTCTTCTGTCTCGTGTCAGACGGAATTGACTTGGGTCAAATCTGATCGACCCGTGGCAACTACAACTGATATCGAGCTTGACAAATCTCATGCTCCTACATTAGCACCACCTACAACGTCTACGGCAGAGAGTCAGACTCCTCCTGACTTAGTACTTGAACGACCTGCAACTGAATCTGTCCATCGGAAAAAAAATGAAAAGAAAAAGTCACAAAGAAATAAATCATCCAGGAATCTCGACCTTTCAGAGGTGCCTATCCACAACTCTTACAGTGCTCTGGATATGGAAGTAACTCCATCCTCACAGCATACTGATGGGAGTTCTCAACCCTCACGTTCACGTGAGAGGTCGCCTATTGAACCACCATGAGTCATTCACCTACTATACTCCAATGGAATTGTAGAGGACTTAGGAATAATTTTAATGACCTTCAATTATTGATACAGGATCTCAAACCGTCTGCTCTATGTCTACAGGAGACATACCTTAAAAGTACAGATAAATTTGATATTAGGCAGTATAACTGTCATCATTCATATTCCCCCCCAGGTGACAAAGCAACTGGAGGGTCGTCTATCTTGGTTAGACAGGGCGTGATTCACAGCCCTGTTGCTCTCAATTCAAATCTTCAAGCTGTTGCTGTTCGTTTAACTTTGAACATTGTCTTTACTCTGTGTTCCTTGTATATTCCTCCATCTACTTTGCTTCGACAATCTGATCTTCAAAATCTATATGATCAGTTCCCCAAGCCATGTATCATTGTGGGGGATCTGAATGGACACAACCCCCTGTGGGGAAGTGTTACCACAAACAATAAAGGGAAAATACTTGAGGAATTCATTTCTGATAATAATTTGTGTATATGTAATGATGATTCGAACACCTATTTACATCCTGCCACTGGAACATACTCAGCACTTGATCTGTCTCTCACAGATTCAAATCTATTTAACGAGTTTGAATGGCTTGTCCATGATGACCTCTGCGGAAGCGATCACTTTCCCACCATTCTTAAATCTGTGAACCCGAATCCTGAAACCTCCACATCCAGGTGGAATTTTACAAAGGCCAATTGGTCATTGTATGAAACATTGTGTACTGCAAAATTAATCCCTCATCATTTTCAGAATGTTGAAGATCCGATTCAATTGTTTTCCGATCAGCTCCATGCAATAGCTGATGAGGCAATTCCTAAGTCCTCTGCAAATCCTCATATTCGCAAACCATGGTTTACCTACGAATGTAAACAGGCACGGAAGTGTAGGAAGAAAGCGGAAAAGTTCTTCCGCCGACATCCCACAGTTCATAATTTAGATCAAGTAAAAATTACAAATGCAAAAGCCAGGCGGGCTTACAAACAAAATAAGCGCCAATCTTGGAGGAACTACGTCTCCAGGATAAATTCACGTACTCCTATATCCAAAGTATGGAACATGATACAACAAATTAAAGGCAAAGGATCAAAGTCTTCTGTTCACCATCTTAAGGAAGGTGATCAGTTATTAACTGATAAATCAGACATTGCCAATAAACTTGGTGAAACATTGGCAAAACATTCATCATCGTCTAATTATGTCCCTGAATTCATAAAATATCAGAAACAACAGGAAAAGAAAACTGTTAATTTTAACTCTGATAACGGGGAGGACTATAATGAAGTGTTTTCCTTCCATGAGCTACTTACAGCCCTAGGGCAAGCTCATGATACAGCGGCTGGTGCTGATAATATTCACTATCAGCTCCTAAAACATTTGCCTATATCATGTCTAGAAACACTTTTAGATATATTTGACCAAATATGGACGTCGGGGAATTTTCCTCCTTCTTGGCATAATGCCATTGTAGTCCCTAGCCCAAAACCTGGTCGGGATCATACAGATCCATCAAATTACCGTCCTATATCTTTAACCAGTTGTGTCTGTAAAACCATGGAGCGAATGGTAAATAATCGTTTAGTTTGGTTCTTAGAAACCAATAACCTACTAACAAATATTCAATGTGGTTTCCGCAAAAATCGTAGTACTATTGATCATTTAGTACGATTGGAATCTTTTGTGAAAAATGCTATTGTTAACAAACAACATGCAGTGTCAATATTTTTCGATCTTGAGAAAGCTTACGACACTACCTGGAAACATGGCATTTTAAAAGATTTACACGAGTTTGGTCTGAGAGGCCGCTTACCACATTTTATATCACAGTTTTTAACCGGCAGGCAATTTCAAGTCCAAGTGGGTTCAACCCTGTCTGACCATTATAATCAGGAGCAGGGTGTCCCACAAGGAAGTATTTTGTCAGTTACTCTATTTAGTATTAAAATCAATAGTCTTTCAAAAGTTTTAAATGATGCAGTGGATGGATCACTTTTCGTAGATGATTTTAATATATCTTGTCGTGGTAAAAATATGCACACTATTGAGAGACAGCTACAATTATGCCTCAATAAAATACAGAAATGGTGTCTAGAGAATGGGTTTAAGTTCTCCAAAGTCAAAACAAACTGTATCCATTTTTGCCGCAAATATAAGCCGCATAAAGACCCTGAACTATTTTTGGCTGGTTTTCCTATTAAAGTTGTTAAGGAAGCCAAGTTCTTGGGTATTATATTCGATAATCATCTAACATTTTTACCACATATCAAATATCTGAAGACTAAATGTCTGAAGGCAATTGACTTGTTGAAAGTCGTTTCTCATTCAAAATGGGGAGGGGATCAGACAACTCTCCTTCATTTATATCGTTCTCTTATCCGTTCCAAACTCGATTATGGCTCCATCATTTATGGTGGGGCCTGTAAAAGCAACTTAAAATTATTAGATTCAGTACATCATCAAGGCCTGAGACTTTGTCTTGGTGCCTTTCGAACATCACCAGTCGATAGCTTATATGTAGAGGCCGATGAGCCATCTCTAAAACAACGTCGAATCAAACTTTTGTTACAATATGTGACTAAATTGTACTCAAATCCTTCGAATCCAGCATATGAGTGTGTGTTTAATCCCATGTATGCCACATTATTTCAATCAAAACCAAAACTTGTTCCTCCACTAGGATTCAGAATGCAGCCACATATTACAGCAGCTAATATTGATCTTTCTATTATCTCACCTACCCGGCTACTGTCTACACCTCCTTGGCAACTAGTTAAACCAGAGGTAGACCTAACACTAACTACCCTAAAGAAATCTGACACAAACCCATTGGTATATCAACAAGAATATGCCCAATTAAGGTCAAAATATGATTCTCATCGCTCTATTTTTACCGATGGTTCAAAGGACGGTGGCAAAGTTTCAAGTGCCACTGTCATTGGATCTAAAAGAGTGTCTTCACGAATTCCTGGTAATAGTTCTATTTTTACGGCTGAGGCCAATGCTATTCTTATAGCATTGGAATACATTCAAAACCAATCATCTCCACAGTTCATAATCTTTTCTGATTCATTGTCATGCCTTCAGGCCATACATAATTGTTCTTCAGATCATCCACTGCTTCTTGATATTTTAGAATTGTATAATGTTCTCGCCACTGCCCAATACGACATCGTCTTTTGTTGGTTGCCGAGCCATGTTGGAATTGTTGGTAATACAATGGCTGATGCTGCTGCAAAAGCAGCACTCAGCAAATCTGTGACACCACTTCTTCTACCATACAGTGATTATAAACCTGTTACTAGATGTTACATCAGAGACCTAATGCAGAAGAAGTGGGACACTCAAGTAGGTATAAATAAATTACATGCAATAAAAGCAAATATCGGTTATACCTACTTGGGTTGTCAGTCCAGATTTGAAGAGGTCATTTTAAGACGATGTCGTATTGGCCATTCCCGTTACACTCAGGAATATATTTTAAAAGGTGAAGATCCTCCATTCTGCATCCCTTGTGATGAAAGGATCACAGTCAAGCATGTCCTGCTTGACTGTATTGATTTTTCCATCACAAGGGATAACTATTTCAAAGTTTCATCACTCAAGGATCTTTTTAACATAAACTCTCATTTAATCATTGATTTTTTAAAAGAAATTGAATTGCTTAATAAATTTTGATGTAGAAAGTTATATATTTTATAAATTGGTACTATATAATTATGAACTGAGATTGTTAGTGGTTGTACCCTTGATGGGGGTTGAAGTAGCGTAAAATTATTGTCCCCTGAGAGGGTGCGTCAGCCCACTTCATTCAAAGTAATTCATATATGCCAGGTTTTTAATCGTAGAATGATTGTTTATTTTAATTTTGGCTAAATTCTCCACACTCACCAATAACTGAAGGGTTGGTGTAAAACCTGCCGGGGTCCATGCAGGTAGCAAAAGTACTGTAAGCCCCCTTGGTCCCTGGTATGGTGGCCTACCTTTAGTTGTTGGTGATCAATAGCCTGTTTTTATGATGTGTCGTCTGTCATAATCCAATCATTTTATTGTTCTAAAACTAGTTTTAAAGTTATAATCTGTGATATCTTGCTAGTTGTTGTACTGTCCTTTGACGACAGTTTTTTTGTTGTATAAGCTATACCTTGTTCAAGTCACGATATGGCTGAAATATTGCCGCTGTGACTTTAAATAATAACTCACTCACTCACTCACTTACAATATATGTATTATGTTTTAGCTAATATTGATAGTCACGATATGGCTGAAATATTGCCAATGTGACTTAAAATTTAACTCACTCACTCACTCACTCTTGGAGGGCCAAGATCAGTTCTTGCCGGTTGGCTGGAGAGTGGTCGTTGTCGAACACGACGATCCATCAAGTCCCAGAGGTGTTCTATGGGGGACATGTCGGGTGAGCATGCAGGCCACGGCAGGACGTTGACATTGTTGGCTGCGAGGAAGTTAGTAACAATTCTGGCTGTATGGGCTCTAGCGTTGTCATGCTGATAAATGACACCACATGGCTGCTGATGGAGAAATGGTAGGACAACGGGACGAAGAATGTTATCCATGTAACGCTGAGCTGTCAAGTTTCCGTCAACGATGACCAGCAGCGTCCTCTCCTGCCCACAGATCCCTCCCCACACCATGACACTTCCTCCACCATATGGTACGACCTCCTGCACGCAACACACCGCCGTTCGTTCACCCCTTCGGCGGTAAACACGTTGTCTTCCATCAGCCCTAAACATACAGTATCAGTTTTCGTCAGTGAAGACAACCCTCTGCCAGTCACGTCGTTGCCAACGTCGTACAGTCCGGGCCCATCTCAATTGCAGACGACGATGTTGCGCTGTCAATAGCTGTCCTCTGTATAGTCTAAAAGCCCTGATTCTATGAACCCTGAGTCATCTGGCCACTGTCTGTCCACTAACCCTGTGACCTAAGGCATTTGTTGCCGATGACGTCACTGTCAGGAAGCGATTTCGGAGG